TTTGCGCTCGAAATCTGGCTGTAAAGACGCACAATGAAGTCACTCCTTTTTCCCGCCATTTTGAGCCTTCGGAAACGTTCTGAACAGCTTCTCATCAAGTTCGCAATACTATTACAGGTAAGGTTGACGCATGCGCAGACGTTTTTCCACGGTGTTGCCCTGGGTACGAGGTTGAATGCTTCACTGCTGAATATTGTGGAAGGGAGTGTCAACAGAAGCATTGGAATAAACATAAAAAGGTGTGTCAAAGTTTACTTAAAAAGTCAAGCATTTTACTTTCTTCCACTAAAAGATAGTGTGGAGGGACGGTTTCTGTAAACTATCATCATCATCATCATGGTCTTGAAGGAGTGGTCTGAAATACAGTGGACCACCACCAGGCTTATGATGAGTACGATTCTACGTCTGTATCACTTGTTATATACGATCGCAGCCTGACAATTGGTGAATCGTTTCAATCCGTCCATGTTCAAAATTTGATAAGAGATCTGGGTGCTATTTGCGAAAGGAAGTATATTGAAAAGAAACTGTTTATGTGGGCCTCGTACACTGAGAACAAGGTTATTCGTATTTTTACCAATGATTTCCCCCCGTATCAACGATGGTGACAATTCAATCCACAGCTGGGACTTTGTTCAAACGCTCGAGGATACAAAATGTAATATGTTACTTGCAGATACTAAGTCCATAAACTCAAGATACAGCATATAATATTATATACAGTACTGCAGGTCATATCTTGGGTGAAGTTAGCAAATATGTTTATATAGTCTATTCTATATATTGGTTTTAAGTATGTATTTTTGGCTGATTTACTGCACTAGGGCCCCATCATTTGCACATTATATTTCATGGGTCGAGATTTCTCGACTCCCCTGTATTTGAGTCGATTTGCTAAATCCCATTTGTTCTCCGTGGATGTTGGTAATAAGCTTGATCTGTTGTTGCACAATCGTGCTGAGACGATATTAAATGTAGCTACTAACATCTCAAGAACACAAATTCCCCACCGATCATGACATTATTGAATTCAGTATATGTTTGCGGAAATGGATCCAGTATTCCGCAAAGTAGTAAAAGGGACGGTGAGGAGATACACGAGGCGGAAAATGATACAAACGAATAATTATACCACGATGAACAAGATGAAGACGAAGACTATGATGAAGTTGATATCAAATAAGATAATGAATGAGCAAACGATGTTAATGCAGAAGTTCCAAGGGCAAGGCCGGAACGCGAAAGACAGCCGCCAATTTATTTTTTTAATTAAGCTTGTGCCGTCCAACAATACTTAATTTAAACAGTTACAAGAACAGAACGGCTCAGGAGCGTGAGCCAATTACGTTGATGACCTGGTTTACACATACAATATATTCGATATAAAACATATATGCACGTACACGCAATGCATTCTTTCGATAACCATGTCACAAATCCTTCCCCGGCGTGCATGGGAGCCCTGCCCTGATGAAATATGGGCTTGGCATGATGAAATATGAGCATGACTCAAATACTATGAAACATAAATATCGGAGAAAGTTGGACAGTCGTACAACAAATATTCTTATCTATTGATATTATGTTTTTGCTTTATTTGAAGTGTGGAAGGATGTGATATTCACGTGATCGATATCGCCACACCCTGTGAACGATGATATTGTACGCAGGACACGTGCAATATTTAACAAAATAGATAAGATTTTGCCGTTGTTGGGAAGAACAAAAAAGTATTATTATATAAATATAATATGACTATAATGTAATGGATGTAAAGTAAACATATTATCAAAACTACAGCACTCTGTCTTTATATCACAATCATGATTTAGCATATCACTGTGTTCATTCGCAGAAGTCCACATTTGGCTTCTTTTGTACAAAAAGTTGTTTGGCGGCTTTTGGCCTGTAACGCCTGTTTTGGTATACCCTGGGTTCCAGAGCCTTCAGTAAATAATAAATTGAATCGTCGCGAAGGCTCTGGTTCAACGGGAGGATTCTTTGAGTAAACCGCGCCAATCACAAAACAGAATTGCCGATTTTAGTACAGAATCTGTACTATCACAAAACAGAATTGGCGATTTTAGTACAGATTCTGTACTAAAATCGCCAATTCTGTTTTGTGATTGGCGCGGTTTAAATTAATCGAAGAATCTTGCTGTTGAACCAGAGCCTTCGCGACGTTTCAATTTATTATTTACTGAAGGCTCTGGAATCCAAGGGTAGTTTTGGTAGTATTTAGCTACTTTTTAAACGGCATTTGGTTCCGACTTCTGAGCATGCGCAATAACTTACCAACCCTCATAATGATCGGAAGCAGAGGATCGGAAGTGAAGGTACTCAGTATACGTGGCAGATTTTCATGTTTAATTGAGATGGACGTGATGGACTTATAAAAGTTAAATTTATATTTCTGATATGGAACAACCGTAAAAAATGAACCTATACGATAAATGCTGTATGTAGACGATTATGTTCAGACCGGATTTGAACCTTCGCCTGTTTTGGGTCGACGAATGATTGAATGAACATTTTATATTGTTGGTAAGTGATCAATAAATCATGTTTAGTTCTTGTTTTTTTAATACTATTAATACAAGATAACAAAAATATTTCTATCCTACATTGTGCTTCTATCTGCTGAAGCAAGTCATCTGGGTACAGTGACACAGTTATTTTGTCTACATCTCTGTAGACTGTAACTAGTATGCACCATCTAACTGTACAGTAGTTATGTGGTGATCTGGCTATTTACAGTAGTCATTTGTGTATGAGCGGAGGTCACTCACTTTTGCAGTCATCTGACTATGCAGTCGTGTAGTCAGAGAGTATGTACAATCCAGAAGTCTAATTTCAGCCAAAAACCTGTAACCGCCACTATATGCCATCATGAATGATGATTATTTTGCAATTGCAATGCTGACGCCATGTTCGTAGAGAGGAGAGGCTGTCACCCTAAAAATATTCAAAATTGCCAGCTTGGCTTGTCCACTTGGAGTGAGTGCAGGAATCGAACCTGCGGCCCTGCGATTCCAGCACAGCACTCTGGACAGCCAACTAAGTTACAGAGTCCAGTTGTTGAGCTCTAAGGTTCTGCAAGTTTGTATTATGCCGTATGTAGATAGGTAGAAGCTTTATTTATTCAGGGTAACTCCATCAATAGTATCTCCATCGATAGTATGTGTGTTTGGAGATGGAAACCGTTGTATTGGGCAAGAAATACAGCAAAGTTTGATATCGAAAGTTAATCTCGAAGTGTTGCTCAGCCAGGCTGAACGAGTTCAGATTTGCATATCTTCTCAATTGGATATTTGCATAATGAGCAGCGAACAATTAGCTCTTTGTCTGCCGATAGTTGCACAGCTCAGTGTTAAAGCCTAGTTCTCATCCATCGCGAACTGTCACCGACGGTCGGCGACGCTTATCGCCGATGCTCGTCGATCGCGAATGCACGAAAGTTCTCATACATCGGTGATCGTCGCAGATGACAGCCGATGTGTTTCGAAATTTCCCACCAAGGCACAAAATGGCCACGTTCAACGTAACATTCATGATTTCTGTCAAACTTCAGTTGATTATTTCCTTGCTTGTTGAGGAAAAACAACTTTTACTCATTTCTCATAGATTTTTCAAGCAGGTGGCAGTCGGCGATGGTCGCAAGAAACAAACTTTTTTGTTTCCTGCGATGTCATCGTCGATGGTCGGCGATGATCACGGACAATCGGCGATATAATTTTTGATGTGTTCTCATAAATCGCAAGCGGTCGCCGACGTCGCAAAGCTCCCATCGCCGACGGTTTGCGATGAATGAGAACTCGGCTTAAGGAAAGAACAATCAGAGCGAAGTATTCTTTATTTAGTTCATTGATCAATCAATCATGGTTTGCTACAAGCTACCCGCATAATTTACCATTCAACCATTGGCCTGTGAATAGAAATTATTGTACTGTGTATAGAAACGCCGTCGCCGATATGCTTTACCTAGCGGTTCTGCCATGCCAACAAAGGTTTTTCCACAAGAAACCCAAGATGACGCGGGCTCCCTGCTTCTATTATCCGAATTCGTGCGCTACCCGACAAATTCTACTGAAGGGGGGAGATAGTTCCACAAACCCTGGTCCTCTGACTCAACAACAGCTTGGTCAGAAGCCTATTATTAACCCAACGGCTCGGGGATGAAGGTCAGCGAATTTACTTTATATAGATTATTCGTCGAATTTATTGCAAAACGGCAATTGCAACTTGTTGAAGTTTTGTTTACTTAACAGTCGCTCTGTCCGGAATAAAACTGCGGATATCGCTGATTACATTTCCCACGATTGTAAACTGACATTATAGCAATTACAGAGACCTGGCTGGACAAAAACGATAATGCCGTTCGCGTAGAGCTGTGCCCTGACGGTTATAAACTGTGTGATCATGTGCGTGTGGAACGCCGTGGCGGTGGGATAGCACTATTGTATCGTGACTCATTGTATGTTGACAAAGTGGATGCAGGGAATAAGGGCTCCTATGAATTTTCAGAATGGATTATCAATCTCTTATCTGCGCAGAAACTTCGCATGGTAGTTTACCGTCCACCATATACGAGTAAGCATCGAGCTCCAATTGGCCTGTTCTTGACGGAATTCCTTAGTCATCTAGAATCATTGTTACTATGCAAGGAGGCCTTAGTGATCTGTGGCGATTTTAACATCCACGTTGATTCCATCGAAGACGCTGATGCAGTGAAGTTCTGTGATCTACTTGAGTCGGTTGGACTGAAACAGTACGTTAATGAAGCCATACGTGGGATGGCCACACTTTGGATTTAATTATTACGCGCGTTTCTGATTATATTATTATTGGGCAACCCAAAGTGGATCGGTATATTTCAGATCATGCATCTGTTATTTGTAGTCTAGCCACAGCTAAACCAATTCTGGAAAAGAGTAAAGTTAGGTACCGGAAATTGAAATCTGTGGACCTTGATGCCCTGAAACATGATTTAGTGGCCTCTGGTTTGTGTAGAGCTTCCCGTGGTGATTCAGACAATAAGTTGCCTGAAGAAATTGATGCTGTTGTGAAAGAGTACAACTCTATTTTAACCCACTTGACTGACTACCATGCTCCATTGAAGACTAAGATAATCAGAGCAAGAACATCTGCCCCTTGGTACAGTGCTGAAATTGATACTGCAAAAAGGCAACGCCGGAAGGCGGAGAGGGCTTGGCGAAAAAGTAAGTCGTTGACTGATTTTAAATTATTCAAGATTAAGAAAAATTATGTGACATACTTGATTAATAAAGCACGAAGAGAATATTATAGTGATTTTATTAACAGTAACGGTGACAATAAGTCCAAGCTTTTTCGTGCAGCGAAAAGTTTGCTCAACGCAACTAGTGAGATTTGTTTTCCGAACTCACCCGATAACACCGTGCTTTCGAATGATATCGGCGCATATTTCGTTAGCAAGATTGCGAGAATCAGAGCTGAAGTAGACGCTATGGTTCTTGACTCACAGTCAAATAACCTAGTGCCTGATGACATCAAGTTTATATCACAGAGAGGTGGTGCTTTGATCCATTTTCGAAAGCTTAGTCAGGAAGAAGTGCAAATATTAGTTATGAAATCGGCTAAGAACTACTGTTCTCTTGACCCAATGCCAACGCCGCTGGTAATGGATTGCCTGGATACGTTACTACCAGTAATTACCCATCTTATTAATTCCTCTTTGGCTAATGGCTACTTCCCTAAGAATTGGAAAGAAGCATAGGTGAAACCACTTCTTCAGAGAGCAGGACTTGACGCTGTATTCAATAACTTACGCCCAATTAGCAATCTACAGTTCATTTCAAAACTAGCAGAACGAGCTGTATATGAGCAGACATATGATCACTTGATTTTGAATGATTTATTTCCAGAATTTCAGTCGGCTTACAGGAAGGGATATAGTACAGAGACAGCACTTTTGAAAGTGCATAATGATATCCTCCTTAGCATGGACCGCCAACAGGTGACTCTACTTGTATTGCTAGATCTTAGTGCGGCATTTGACACAATCGACCATGTGTAACGAATTTTGACTGAATATCACATCTATATTTGAATACAAACTGTTCTTTTATAGAAATTTACAAAACCAGAGTTTTCTTAGAGTCACGCCATGTTCAATTACCCACGCATGCGCGAACTAATGTCAACTACGCGTGCGCCAACTAAATGTCCTATAAATTAACATAAATTAAGTCGGAAGTTCGTACACTCCCGCCTTGACAACTTATTTGTCAACACAACGTCTCTTTATTTCTCCGACAATTGCTGCCTTTCTTCTTGATCTACGATCCTCCTTTTCATCCTGTTGGGTATGTTCGTTCCTAAGCTCCAATGGAAACAGTTTCTGAACGGGGCGCCGTATGTACGTTGATTTCTTGCTGTCCCCCGCAATTCTAATAATAGCAGCGCGTATTTTCCCATCTGTACTACGTATTAGCTCATGAACTCTTGCCAAACGCCACTTTGCTCGAGATCTGTTCTCGTCATGCACACTAACTACATCACCAATGTTGATATATGTTTCTTTCGTCACGCTCAACGAGCTACGATGTTGTTCCCTAAGACTCAGAAGATATTCCTTATGCCATTTTTTCCAGAAACTGTCAGTTAACCTACATAGATACTTCGCTCTTTTTGTTAACTCCGTTCCAGACATGTCTACCGTTTCTCTTTCACACCTCGAATTTGACATCAAAATTGAACGTCTTCCCATTAATAAATGAGAAGGTGTTAAAGCTTCTTCCATTTCGCCAGATTCAACATACGTCAGAGGTCTTGAGTTTAGTACACTTTCTACTTCCGTAAGAACTGTATTAAGTTCATCGTAACTTAATCTCGCATTCTTTAATGTTTTCTTTAAACACCGCTTCGACGACTTGACCATTCGCTCCCAGAACCCACCCCACCAAGGGGCCTTTTCGACTATGAATTTCCATTCAACTCGTCTGGACTGTAACAATTCTTGGACTTCCGGTAAATCGAGTAATGCTGACAATTTATTGCTTGAGGATTTAAATGTTTTAGCATTGTCCGATAATATCAACTTTGGAATACCTCTTCGACTAATGAATCTCCTAAATGATCGAATAAACGCATCAGCTGTCAGGTTTGGAACCAATTCCAGATGGACTGCTCGAGTACTTGCACATGTATAAAGTGCAATATACGCTTTGGTCATTTCGGTTTGCCCTTTAGCAACCGATTTTACGTAAATTGGTCCCGCGAAATCTACCCCAACGTGACTAAATGGAAAATCTTGAGTAACACGGAATTTGGGAAGGTCTGCTTGAGTTGGCGGTGTATAAGCCTTTCCTTCGAATTTACGACAAGTTACGCACTTCCCAATCACACGTTTAACTGTTTGTCTACCTTTGACAATCCAGAATCGTTCTCTTAAACAGCATAAGGTGTCTTGCACCCCATTATGAAGCACTCGTTCATGACACTCACGAATGATAATCGAAGTTAAATGATGGTAGTTCGGTAGAATAATCGGATTCTTCGTTTCGGTCGGTATGTCCGCTTGAGATATTCTTCCTTTACAACGTAGAAGCTTTGAATCGTCGCTGTAAAGTCCTAGAGACCTTTGCACTTGTGAGAATTTCCTACCATCGATAATGGTTCTCTGAACGGTTTGGAACCATAGCACTTCCGCCTCCTTTATCTCGTCAGTTGTGATACGTTTCCGCTGTCGACTATCTGCCGCCGTGCAATTGTGTTTGAGTATTTTCACAAATCTTACTACCAGGGCTGTAACCCGATATAATTTCAATGAAGAACTGTATCTTTTTGGATCGATTAATAGTTCTAGATTTATACGCCTGTTCTGAACTTGAGTTACTGACACGTGTGTAGAACCGTCCGATGTCGCTAACGATCTTTCGCTCAACTTCATTTCTTTCTCCGCTGCTTCGTCAGGCTCTGCATTCTTGAATTGAGGCCAATGTTCTTCAGATTCGTGAAGCCAAGTTGGACCATTCCACCATAAACTATTATCAGCTAAATCTTCCAACCGAACACCTCGAGATGGTAGATCTGCAGGGTTGCACTTCCCAGGTACATGTCGCCAGCACTCTACGCCACTCAATTCTCTGATTTCCGATAATCTGTTCTCTACGAATTGCTTAAACTCTTTGCTAGTTCCCTGTATCCAATACAACGTGGTAATTGAATCAGTCCAATAGTAGATCGCACTGATAGGGATGACAGGCTCAATGGCTTTCCGCACAGCTGATACAAGTCTTGCAAGACATAATGCTCCAAGAAGCTCTAATCTCGGTAAACTTTGTTGTTTCAACGGTGCTACTCTTGTCTTGGCGGCGATTAAGGTTAACTTTACTGATTCTTTAGATTCGATTCTTAAGTAAGTAACAGCGGCAAATGCTCCCTTACTGGCATCCGAAAATCCGTGTAATTCTACCTTACAAATGTTCTTCTCTATGCAGCATCTATTGATCTTTATCTCAGGGATCTTTCTTAACTCGGTTATCCAGCCCTGCCACTTTCGTTCACATTGTGATGTCAATGGAGCATCCCAATCGCCCTTTTCAATACACAGTTGTTGAAAGAGCATCTTCATAGGAAGTATGACCGGCGATATAAATCCCATTGGATCATACACACTCGCAACAATCTTCAGAATACTTCGCTTGGTTGCAGGAAGCGATTCTGCAGCCTTGATTAAATCTTGGAATCTGATGATAAATACATCCATGTCAGGGTTCCACAGCAACCCTAACACCTTTTGTTCAGTTTCTTTAACAGCAGTCTTGGATGATGAACCGAGTGTTGCTTTGGCGTAGGTGGATTCATCTTCGTTCGTATTCGAATTTGTATCATCCTTGCCGACGTCTTGATTAATTTTGCTACGCAAGTCTGAATTATTTGTCGCCCACTTACGTAAGGTAAATCCCCCTTCTTGTAGAATAGATTTTGCCCTTTCGTACAGTTCATATGTTTTCTGATAAGAATCTTCACCCGAGGCGAGGTCATCAACATAAAACGATCGAAGCAGGTTGTCTACAATTTTGGGTTCAATAGAGTAGTACTTTGCAATATGATATTGCAAGGTAGCTGCTAACAGAAATGGTGAGGCAGTAACTCCAAATGTAACTCTTGTCATTCGTTGGACAATAATATTTGGCTGTTCGTTACAAATATCATCTATC